TACGCCCTTTGGTTGGCTAGTGTATTTACTTTGGTTTTGGTTTTACGACAGTCAAGTGAAAACCGCTCTAATAAACCAATCATTACTAGGATGACCCACCCTCTAAAGTTGTTAAGCCATTTTTGTTGCTGGCCTTTTCTAAACAAGTACAGTTCTAATAATTGTAAAGTATATAAGTAACAAGCCCAAACAACACTGCTGTTTTTATTATAATATAGGCTACCGCTTTTAATGGTATCGTCTGGTATCAAATATAAAGCCCTGAAAACAGACAGTTCTTTACCCTTGCTATTTATTATATTTCCATCAATATTAATTTTCAATTTTTACATAGTTAGTTTTACAAAGAGAGAATAGCTCATTCTCATGGTTTAGTTATGTTAAGCGATAACCTTTTTGCCTTGAACCATAAAGATAACTTACTTAATTCCTTAATAGTTATTTCGATTAAATGCCGTATCTTACTTAAATATGTTGGTGTCATCTGCAAAAGGTGTGAATTTAATAGTAGAGGCAGAACCAATGTCATTGATATCAATTAAAAACAGAAAGGGCTCTAAAACAGATCTAGAATCTTGAGGAACTCCAAATATAATGTCGAACATCCCAGAATTTTTTCCATTATAGTAAACATGTTGTCTTGGGTTGGTAAGGGTTTTTTGCCACAACAATTACGTGTTCCTTTGATGCCTTTGATAATGTTTAGGTTTGATTAATCCAAGAAAACACCTATGATGCATTCCTTTTAATTCTTGTATTGAATAACTATACTCTGTAAGTTTTTTTTTCCGTTGAGAAGGTAATTTAAGAGTCTCCAATTTTCTTTTATGTTTACTGGAATTTCTTACTTGCCATAAATATACCTTTTAATTTATAACTGGTTATTAGAAATAAAACTGGCGCCTACTACGCAAGCCAACTGGTTATCAAAAATATTCCTTTGCAATAACACTAGTTTTATAGATTACACACTCATAGAAATATTAACTCAATCAAAAATGACTTGCAATAAGACTTAAGTTTCAAAGGTATCATTAAAGATGACTCCACGAGAAGTTGTAAAAACAGGAATAGTTTATACTATAGACACCAGCGCAAAATTAGACCGAGATCGCGAAATCCAAAATTCTCGGCGGCCAAAATTTAAACTCGCCGAGAATCTCACCGATATCTAGCAAAAATTTTTGCACGGGGAAGCCTTCTATTTCCCTATTTGTTTTAAACAGAAAAGGGATATAAGATTAGCTAAGATTGATTGCTTCGCTCGTCATGTTCTAGTTTTAAACCTGCTGTTCAACCCGGGTGTTCAGATTCTGATTCCACAAAAATTGAAATATCAACAGTTGGAAATATCGTGTCTGGCTGACTCAAAATTTGATACCGTTTGTCCCTTTTTTCTGTCGGGATGCATGTTTATATAATCCATCGGTTAGAGTTACGTTTAACAAGGATTGAATTTAAACCAACGTGCCCGAACTGTTTCAAGCCGGGAGTTGTCTGCCCCCGTAGACTGTGATTATTTTCTTTCTTTTCTTTTTTTTTTCTTAACCCTTCTAGCTCGCGTTGGTAAATGATGGCTGTTTTTGTAAAATATAATCTGATGCTGCATCAGTGGTTTTGTGTGCACTCTGTTTTGAATAGCATTGAATTAGCTTTTCAACACAACAGATATGTCACGATTCGATACGTTTCAGTTACGCCTCGGTTCCTTTTTAATATCTTGAATCTTCCTGCAATACCGTTTTCAAAGCGTCATTTATAAATGTACGGCATTATTTAAATTAGTACGCAGTAAATTGTGGTCAGATAAAATTTTCGTTTAAACTGCAAATTCATCACGAATCTGAAAAACAACAGATGGATAAAATTATGATTTTGAAATTCGCCATGCAATATATTCACGGTACGGTTCAGCTAACATGTTTTGATGTGACATGCAAAATCTTTCTGACAGTAAGCATTGTTAACATTGGCTATGATTGGCTGTTGATAAGGATTGCGTCCTGGATAATATCCAGTCACAGTTGTTTCTAAGAATGTCTGTTGTCAAACAACCAATCAGAGCACTTTGTTAAAACTCTGGAAAAGCAAAATAACATGCTGAGACAAATTAGCGACTCCACTTCACTTTTAAAGCAGAAAAAAGATGGCACATAAACACGAAGGCTAAGCGAGAGATAAGAAATTAAAAGGACTGAAAGCTACACAAGTATATAAAAAAATGACGATCATCAATAAATTCCGTTATGTCTTTTAAAAACAGAATGTAAAAGTCAGTGTAGACGTTACGACAGGCAGCTACACTAATCTGAGTTACGAAGCACAGGAAATCTGTAGAAGCCCATAGAAAGCACCACTACGGATCATGAAACAATATGTCATGGCTAGAAGCGATAAACAGTAGCCAAAATTAATATAAAAAACTTATTACAAGTAGTTGTTCGTTGAAAAGCTAACAAAGTAGAACGGGTATTGTACGGTAATCTTGGCAGGTATCATCCAAATTTTGTAAATGAATAATATGGTAAGAGTTTTATTTTTCATGACTATGTGGACTTTTTTACATGTATATTGCCACGTACGAACGGTTTTTCCCGGAATTGCAAAAGTATTTTTCTTTATAAGGGAGCAGATTTTTACTATAGTATTGCATCATTAACAAACCAGCTATAAACTTTGCCAAGGTAATGATAAGGAAATTTCATCTCAAAAATCAAATAGGAGTATACAGTATACATAACGTTGAATGCAAAAGTCAAATAAAATATCAAGGTTTATGTATAGATCAAAAGGTATACTACTCGGTAACCCTTACCCTACCCTCTGAGATTGAATACTACAATAACCTCAAATTTCATAGACCAAGGATAAGTGGTCTTTTTAGAGCTGCCACTTTTGTTGCATCTAAACTATCTGGGAAACTATATATTCCCTCCGAATTAAAAAAAATATATATTATCTAATGACCACTTTTACAAGGAGTGCAAACCCGATATCATTATTATTTTAGAACACGATAAAAACTATCTATTCTCTGTAAAGTTGGGTTATATGTGTTATATTGGTTCTCCGATTAGCATTAAGGATCGCTCTATGATCAGTGAACCGAAAACAACCTGATTACTGCTGTATACAAAGGACAGTGAATAATAAAATAACGACAGCATTAGTCTTAGAGAGTTAATTCTAAGTACAAAAGTGAAAGCGAACCTTGTACTTGATCATAATCCTGTGATTCAAGTTTCATTTCTCAGAACTATTTACCAACAGAGAGTGTCGTTGTAAAACCTGTTAAGAGATAAAATCGGGAGTAAGAATTGTTTTATTTAAATATCGTTCAACATAAAGATTCAGCCTAACATTTATTATTGTCCAAAGAATTGATTAAAATCAATTTCTTTTCTATTGGTAAACAGCGCTTCCAAAACTGATTTCATAGATTTTTCTTAGTTAACAAACATTTCCAAACACAGAATCGAAGACTGGCGCTTATAAAGGCCAACTGATGGCAAGATGGAAATACACAAAAACGGTAAACTTCCTTCACTCACATATTCGGTCTTATTAACGGGTGCCAGTATATTTAATTACACATCGGCAATCAAATGTCGCGTTACTAAACCGTGAAAGGGCTTGGCACTAGATTTGATTTTTGGCGGCACCCACTGAGAATGGCGGTAAAAAATCCAGAAAATCTGATATCCCGATTGATTCAGAAAAAGCACCTATCAAGAGACTCTTCTCTCGAATCTTATGATGATAATGCGGTTGAGTAGGTTATTTAACAAATCGACCACAAGTTTCCATGGTCTACACTATTTAGACGATAAAAATCACGTCATAAAATGCTCTAAGTAAAATTCAAGTTTTGAACAATTGAAGAGAGTTCAAGTTTTGAACATTTGAACAAAGCTCAAAGTTTTGAACATTTTATGGCGTCATTTCTGTAGTCTATAAGAGTATAGACCATGGAAAATTGTGGTCGATTTGTTTTTTACAATAACATTTACGAAAAACCAAAAACAGAACAACCAGCAGTGCGTGACATGTCACGGTCTATGACTATGGTCTATACTATGGTCTATACCCTCATAGACCATAGCTCTCGACCAATCAGGGCGCGAGGATTTACTCAGTTATTGTAAAAACGTCTTCGGATCAAATATTCCTTTATTAAATTCTCCAACTCCATGCATGTGTCAATCGAAACCTATAAGTATAGTTATGTTTACCTCATATTTAGCTTAAATAACCCGAAAACAAAACTCAAAGCACAGGAATAGGGCTAGATCAAAGTTGAGGAGATATGTCTGGTTTAATAATATAGGATATAGTAACCGGTAAAAAAGGCAACTTTAGGACCAAAACCATTAAATAAAAAAATTTCATAAATCTGTTTTTGCATTACCTGGTATTGTTGGTTGAACTGGAAATACTCTGGAATATTTTATGTTATTTTATTTGTATTGAATCAGATAAAAAACTGATAGCTATGATTTAATATTCTAAAATAAGAAGTCTTCATGCCTCATAAAGACTTTTCTACAACATAGAACTATCCATCCGTAATTTGTTCTTAAAGTAGGTTTTCAAAAATGAGGGAATATATGAGGCCAGAAAATAAGATAATTAGCTTCTAGGCCTTATGCACAAACCATGTATAGCAATAATGTTAGCTCAAGAATAATGTAGAAATTTTTAACAACGAGACATATAGATCCAACAAAATTCTGTAAAAGAATGCTCTATTTGCATGATTACGCCAGTTTTTAATTTTTTTCATATTGTAGAGAATAATGAGGATTAATAATCTCACAGGCTTATAGAAGTCTTTAGAGGAGTGTTAAATATTCAAGACCCACACTGACTTAGACTTCAAATATTATGGCCCATTCTAGAAACCTTCGTTTCCAACCCCCGTGCTTCGAAACCCGTCTTCTCTATCCTTAAAAAAGCAAAAATAGTACTAATGTCTTTTACAACTCTGTTTTTTTTTTTTTAGAGTGGCTCGTTATAACAAAGAGAACAGAATTTATAACATCATAAAAACTATGTTTTTATGTGGCATGGCACATGAAGAGGTATTAGAAGTGATAAGAGTCACTCTGCGATCGCCTGATGAGCCGACATATATACAGGGAGATGGAGCGCTTGTAGCTATACGAAACTTCGGATATCCCGTCGGGGAAATGGTGGAGTTTGATAGACGAGGACATCTCATAACGTGGTTAACGACTACGGTCAAGGTGGTGTATACAGTTGACGAGCATGGTGATTATGAAGTCATCACATCATTTCCACTAATAAGAAGGAGGGCGAGGGAGGTGAGAATAATCTTTCCTAATAGCAAAATATGGCCTTTTAGTATGATAGTGTCATGATTTTAATTTACTTGTTTACGTATTTTGCTATAAATCTCATTGACATTCATTATTTCCAAATATTGTCAACTGCATGAGGCAATACTTTGAACAATTACTGGATTAGGTTTTTGTGATATCTACAATAATCAAGGTCGAAGTAAATGTCAAAGCCTCTCTGAGGAAATCAATTGCCCCGACCACGATTATTCTGGACATCATGACCAAATCTAATACATAGTTGTTTAATTATACATTGTTTCGAACAAAATAACACACTGTCGCAGCCAACACAGATGATTGCTCTTGGAAATCATGCATTGCGCGCGCTACCTGCAGATTAGTCAATTATCTGCTATCCGAAGGTTGCGCTGATTTGAAAAATTAAGAGTAACCTATCAGCCAATGAGAAGACAGATACTGAGTACAAATTTTTATTAGTAGTGATGAGATATGTAAGCATGAGTCATTAATGCTGAATATGCCATGGCTATGGAAAGGAAGACTATTGTAAAAGCCTTAGGTTATATAGACTAGAGGCTTCCAAAAGTTACAGAGTACCCTGTGAGCTCTGAGTACTAAATATATAAACGAGTTATTTGGTTTAAAAAAGGATAAAGGAAGGAAAAAAAAAAAGTAGTATAAAAACGAAACAAATTAAAACCGGGGAAACTAGAAGAAAAACGAGATTATTTTATTTATTTTAGATGTGCCTCATATAATCCGTGTATGTTATCATTATATCATAATTACACAACTACCTTCTTCACAGGGCCATATGAACGTTACCTGACTAAAAGGACAACTACTAATGAGATGTTCTTTTTTTACCGTAGGCTATGGCATCTTATTGGAACCACTGAAAGCATTTGTCATTGGAATTTTCATATATATTTTTCCTCTTTTAAAACCTTTTTAACAATTGTTGTCTTAATAATATCTTTTAGCACGTGATATTTACGGCTTTCTGAACAGAACATTTTTTTTTTTCAATGAAAAACTTCAGAATCATGTGTTTCTTTTGTTGATTAACACTACGAATTAAAGTGGTTTTAGAAAGTAAACGTATGACGTACTCGGACAATAATAAAACAGCCATCAGGTGACTGCATGCAACTAGGCGTTGATAGTTTGTGCCAGCATAATTTTTTGGCATAATTCGTTGTTACTAGCCTTATTTTCATCTATATATTTCCCGAGAAAAGCACTGCAAGCTAGTTTTGCAATCGTAGCACAAAATGGTTATCTATTGATCATGCAACCACTTTTTTGGCCAGAGATCAGCATTAGAGGAAAATTAATGAACAAATTTTGCCTGGCTATTGACTATTGTGACATTAATGGGATCTGAGTCCCACAGGAAGTGACCCAGGTTCACTGGACTCGACGCATGCGCATAACTACAATAGCTCGATTACCCACGATGGTCGGTCCACGGCGTGCTGGTGACAGTTTTATTGTTTCAGTTCTTTACCTTCCTACTTTCATCTATCACTACGCGCAAATACTATGCAAGGATCTCCGTTTTCGAAATTATAAGCGAAAATATGGTACAGGTACGGTTGACTTGTTCTTACACCGGTCACTTTGATTTAGCCTAGAACTAGTACATCGGTCGAGTGTAAATCATTCAAGTCAAAGCTATCTCAATATTGCCATTCTTGCTCCGAAATCATCTTCAGTCGAACCTGCGGAACCGCAGGGGCTTCTGTTTTACAAATTTGTTCGTTTGATGGAGATAGGAATTGCAATAATGCAAATAATTCAACTTTGGTATCATTGTGAACGAGCCTTCGGGGGTGTACATTACTATATTTTTTCGCGGCTTAAGCCATATTTAAAATTGGACTTTTCGGTTTAAGAAATTGGTATTAAGTTACCCCGTAGAAGTCTGCAGTAATTTGGCTTTTCATTAATGTTTTTTCCAGCGACTTTACACGTTTCAAGAACCCAATGACGCCCGTTCCTTTAAGCTAAGAACAGAAAACATTTCTCTAGAGTCATGGATGTTTATCTAATCAGCTAGATTCGACTGTTATTAATATCTTAGTGACTAGACACTGCGTTTATTCAAGGCACACCGTCGTAAGAACAAAATGTAAGGTTCAAGTAGACTTGCATTGTACAGTCGCTCAGTGATACAGGAAATTTAAAATGCTAAACGTGCCGTAAATCCGTCCTATTTCGCGCCAAATGCCATGCTTGAGCGATGTAGTGTGAAACATTTGTTGTCGGCATTCAAATCTAACGAACACAATGATTTCCTGAATTTATAGTAGGTATTTTTCAGGCCTCTGGCAACATACCGTCCGTCCGTTTTCAAAATACGCTACACGAAAATTTTGATTTACACCAAATTTACTCAGAGCAAATATAGCGCAAAAAAGTGCAAACTAAGGTTAAATAAAGGGCAAATTAAAAGATTGTAAATAACGCATTTGCCTACGAATTTACCGCATGTAAACTGTTATGCAAATACAGTATTTACCATCTTTGATTTTGACTTCCTCCTCGTTAGCACTTTTTTGCACTATATTTGCCCCAAGCAAATTTGTGTAAATCCAATTTTTCGTGCAGTGGTACCTAGGATAAAATAATTGGTGCGCACGGTTTGATAAAGCTCCTGTGCCGTTTTTTTTTATTTCTATCTCTGGCGCCCAGAGTATTGACGTCAACGACATGTCATGATCCGCTAAAAATATATTTACGACTTTGTTTTCACATCATCATGCCATCAAGCCATAAGAAATGCTTCAGTTATTTGGTAGATTTCATATCCCAGCGTGGCTGTACAACAGACAAGCAACCGGTGTTCACACCTTTTACAGACAAGCAAATTTTACAAAAAAACAAAAGATTTCAAAAACAACCTCGAGGGAAAAACAATAGGCCCAATAGCCCGTTATGACTTTAAATACTATCTAATCCTCTTTATGTTAATTTGCGGTCATACTGAATTTAGTCCCTGAATTATCTTGTCGGTTCTATGAGAGCAATGACTGAAAGGTTTAAGAGAATTTTCATTCAAATCTTCCAAGTAAATTCTTATTTAAAAATTCAACAGCTGGTGCTTCGACCGTCAAATTGACCATAATCCCTTTTACAAAGCAGTCATCGTTCATTGGCGCCAAAACTATCATAAGTTGCAGCTAATTAAAAGTTTTGGGAACTTCTAAGAACTTATGTTATATAGATAACTTTGTTGCAAAAGTAAAGTTTCAGAGAACTTACCAGATTTATCCTCTTGTCCCATCCTTACTAAGAATTCTTTTAGCAGATTCACTTCACTATAATTACTTGTACTCAATTCTATATCATTTGCACTTTTGAACGCATGGCAGGGTAAAAAGAAACTACTTCTCACTCCGCTGTACGTTGATTGGACAATCGACATAACCAATCAAATGCGTATTCCCCTTCTGTATTGTCCTCTATGTTTAGAAAGACGTTTAGACGAGCTACATTAAAGCAAATCAATATGGAAAAAGACTCTATAAAAAGGGCAGTAGCAGTCACCTTCAAGCAACTTTTGGCTAAGTATGACTGAAAAAAAATAATTGACAGAAGTTGACAGATCTGAAACGTTTTGGTGACGTCAAAGTTCATTCATTTACTGTTACCCAGTAGTTTCAGCTAGAGGTTCGTTTCTTACTAAAAAAATCAATAAAATTTCCATAAATAATCATGAAGCCGGTGTCACAATAAATGGCATTGGCCTGTCCAAACTACAGTAGGATCTGTTGGTATATTGCATTTGCATGGCTGTAACCAGCAGCAAGCTAAAATGTAGATTCGGCTCCACCAGCCTCAAAAGGCGTTGTTAGTAAAATTCCCGGGGGTGAGTTTTTGTTTTCATAGTCGTCGTGAGACCAGCGAGTCACAGCAATCAATACACATACTCTTATGCAAACTAATTTAATAAAGTTCTTCAATTTCAACGGCAAAAGATGGCTTTTCCCCGTGCAAAAATGTGTTTGGCCGAGAAACGTAAATGTTCTGGAATCAGTTATAATACACCAAGTGTTGTAATTGGCACTGAAGTCTTTGACTTTCTTTAATTAACTTATAAAGTATGGGCTGTTACAAATGGATTAATGGTTATAAGTGGGTAAAAAGGCTCTTGCAAAGGGCATGGTGCGAACAAATTTTCCTACACTAATACTAGTGGTTGAAGATAAGTCTTACCGAAAAGAAGTCGACCACGCCCCCCCTCCCCCAAAACGCACACACACTCACACACTCATCCCATTATCTACCCCCTAAAAATCAAATGGTGCCTCCCTTACGCGCGCAAAACGTCGTCTTCAACACTTCGCCGCTTGTGAGAATTTCTTTTTAAATCAACGCCACAAGCGAAGAGTTTGCTTTTTCTTTCTCTCATAAGCAATTGCATTTCTACTGTTGCTTTGTTTTCAGAGCTTGAACACTCGAGGGGCTGGGAATATTTTTTAGTATAAGAACCCTCAACTTCCCTAAAGTTTGCATGATTGTCTCGAATTCTCCCAACACCCTCTCGTGTTTATTATATTAGGTAATTCAAACATACTGAGCGTTTTCACTAAATTGCTCATCTAATATCTAGGGACATTCACATTTTTCTATGCGCGCTCTAATTCGCAGTGTGTTTGCATGCGAGTAGGTAACACAAATGTGACTTTAGGATCTTGTGCACGTGCTAATCACGCAACACGATTTTTGAAATTAACAAATTGACAGTTAAAAAAAACTAGCGTCAATTTGTTAATATTACAATACCAAGAACACCAGAAAAGTCAAAATGACGGTAAAATGAATAGGAAAGAAGAACTTGGATTCATTAAACGATTTTATTTCATGTACTGGTAGATTAAACCTCTTGCCTCTTAGATACACGATTCATATCAAGTCACTTCATGAATTTCTTAAACAAGTACAATATCATTGTCAATAAGTTTCCACACTCGTTCGGTAGCTATTTGAGATAGGTGATGAAGTTTCATTGCCAAAAAATTAGTCTTGTTTCGCCTTACGGGCTCTTAAAAATATCCCACGATAATACACAGTAAACTGTCGATGATTGCCAACAGTTCCTATGTCTCATGAACGCGGAATTCGGTGTAAAGGTCTTAATCTAATACATCCACGGTCAACGACAAACAAACAAAATGGATTCCGAATTAAAGGGGTTCTCAAACCGTTCAAATACTTGATACCAGTAACTGTGGAGGGCACAGAAGTGCATTTTATTGTGACTGAAGCTCATCTCGTTAACAACTTGTGACATTCTTTCTAATCTCGTTAGAAACTTTCTTTAACAGCGCTTTTATTTAACTTTGAAAACTTTATCTACAGCTCACATATATGATATATTTCCTATGTTCTAAGTCAATACCGGCTGAATTGCACACTTTTGTCTTTAATAATAAGTGACTTAATATTTTGCAGTTTGCAGTTCAATCATCCTTAGTGTTCAAATTGTACACTTTAATGAGGGTAAAGGCAAACTATATCAGTAGCTTTCCCTAGCGCTAAACATAATTTCCTCCCCCTTTCCTCCTCAATTCAACAATTTCGCTCCTGTTCGATTTTTTCCCTCCACCGCCACCAGGGGAAACAATAGAAATATGGTGCTGATGGTCCAACACGACCAAAACCATCGCTCACCTTTGACGAACATGACCGTGAACTACCAAATATTTAAAGCTGTTGGTTTGTTCTGCATAACGAGGTTGTGGCATACAATCTTTAGCAATTCCGAATGTTAGCCAAATATTCCATAGCCACGCACCAATAACTGCATACAAAGTTCTAGCTTTTAATAATAGAAATGGAGCTGTGTTGTGAAACAGGTCACCGCCTGATGAGGTCAAACAATCAATTTATT